TACCATAGTGATGTTCTACAATTTCCTAATTACTTTTATTAAACTTTGAAATTCCTTCTATTTTTCAGATAGTGAAATTTTTGGAACTGTTGATGGCCATGCTTTCTAATTTTAGGTTTAAATACTTGATTGGTCTGAAATTCTGTTATCAAATGCAAACATACCTGCTTGATTTTTACCTTCCTTACCAAAACCATTAAAATTCCTTGCAGTTTGTACTGGGTGCCAGCAACAAGTTAATGGGGCACATAGCTTCAATTTAGGTATAGAAAGGATAAATTTAATTCCGAATCATAAGAAAAGCATCAGGAATCAGAGAGACTGTCAGCAGACAAAGGTAAATGAAGAAAAGGTCCAGTAAGAAATTTAAATTATATAATTTTACAGTACCTTTCTTTGTATTTTTTACCAGTTTGGTGGATATTTTGCTTCTGAAATATTGTTCATTCCTGTGAGGTCTCGTTTGTTATAATGACCTTACACTCTGATGATTATATATAAAAAACAAACAATGACTTCAAAACATGCATGTACTGCTTGATGAAAAAGTCAGCCTTGAACAAGCAATACAGGCTTACAGTTGTTTGATGTTTTGTAGCTCTAAATTAAACGATTTTCATCTGTAAACTTGTACGGCACATAATATTGTATTTAAACATCTCCCAGCAAGCAGACATCCTTCTCCATGCTCTTTAACCATTGGTTTACCACCTTTGTTAAGAAGTTTTCTTCAAAAGGCCAAACTCATTTTACTTTTTTTGAGTGTTAAAATTGGACTTTTTTTAAGTATAGCACTTCATGTTGTGTAGTTGAATTTTCCTTGGCTCATTAGAAACCTGAATTTAGCATCAGAACTGAGCCTTGGCTAATCTCTGTTTGGTCTGCACTTTTCACACAATCACCAAGGTTGGAAAAGACCTTCAGCATCATCTAGTCCAACCATCCACCTGCTACCAATATTTCTCCACTAAACCACGTACCGTAGTGCAACATCTACATGTTTCTTGAACACTTTTGTAAGCATTGTAGTGATCACAATTTTCACTGTTCCCCTATGGATGAAAAAGATCTTCTCTGACATGCAGGACAACTGCATGCATTTTAACTGAAAAATTCTTTGACAAATGTGTGATTTATCTGAGAGGCATTTTGTGTTAGTGAAATTGTAATGATTTCTTTCAATGCAGGCTAAAACTCGGAATTCTCTTAGAATTTCAAGATACAGTAGTTTTGTGAGAAAATACAGAGTACCCTGTAGGAAATTTCTGTTGGGGCGATGGTGATCCCCTGGTGACTCTAGTGACCTGGTTGAGAACCATATGCGCTGTGATGGGTTTCAGAAGAATTGTAGATGATGCTAAATTCCCTAGAGGTGTCTTTTGTCCTTGGTATCTTTAAATAAACACTAGTTTTGTGAGAGGCTTTTGTTATCTGCTGTTTTCCCCCTGGTGACAAGGCACTCCTCTGAATGAAATGTCTGTGTTCTTACAAGGAATATTTTCATTTTACTGCGAAAGTACTGAGGGATCACACTAGGGAATCTTCTGAGAGGTAAATGCATTCTTTGTGACTTACTTTGTTTCAGTAAAAGTTTTCATGTTGCCATTAAAAGTTAATTAACAGCATTTGGATTTTAGATATTTTAAGTAAAATCTCATACATGTTTACATAAATAGATGCATAAGCTGTAAGTTAGTAATTGCTGAGAAATTAAGGACCCAATGTCTTATTTTAAATACAAAATAAAAGCAGCAGATTTTGATCACTGTCTGAGAAGATTTCTTGAAATTTTAACCACATTAACTTATTCTGAACACCTACGGCCTATGTCTAAAGATTGGTTGCTTTTTTCAGCATTCCTACTTTACTTTGTTATATAAATGATGACTAAATATGATGGCAAGTAGTAGAAATATCATCAGATAAAGCTGGTTAGTTGCATTTCAGCGTCTCATACAGTATCAAAGATCATCATGGATTTTAAGTGTATTTTGAACTTTGCCATTCTTGGCAAAAGAGAGGTAAAAGACATGCACTTGCATTGAAGTGACTGCTTTGCACAGTGCTAGTTTTCTGTGTGCTAATTAGTTACCTACCACATCCCCTTTTAAATGTCTTTATTATGTCCGTAGAATGGTGTGGGTAATCATGATTACATTACATAGATAGATATCTCTTCTGGGAAATCTAGTGGTATGTAAAACTTAGGTTACTTATACCACAGCTGTTCACTGTATGTAGGATATTCCTTATCAGTAGGACATTTAGATTTTCTTCTTCTTATGTAGAGAAAAGTGAATAGATATAATTTATAGTGACGCTTATGTATGTATTTGAATCATGACAATCTGGCAGAACTCAGAATTTGGGAAATGCCAATGCAGTTACTTTCTATCTGTGATGGTCGGCAGGACTGAGATATCAGGTACCTTGTGTTGTCTTTAGTTGATTTAAAAAGTGTACCTTAAGTACTAAATAGGAAAACATGGCATGAAATGTCCCTTATAATTTCATAAACACCTAATTTGCATTAATGTAATATATGCGATCAATCAGCGAAGAAAGAGAGCAAAGCAGGATGATTATAGCCAAACCAGTAATCAGAAGGGAGAGACAGAGGAGTGTGCTTGCTGTGGAATTAATATAATTCCTAGAAACTGTGCTTTTTTCATCCAATTTTCTTAGAGCAGGCAAAGAGCTAATAACATCTTTATGAGCACTCAGACCTTCTAGTGATTCATTTGTTGGAGCGTGGCAGGATTTAATGGGTGAGAGATGCCTACTCATGAATTCTTTGCAATGCACCTTCCCTGGCCTTTCCTGTCTGTTGATGATGATTCAGCTTAATATATTTGCAGTAACTAAGATGCTGATTGTTGCCTTGTGACAAGGATCCCTTTCTTCTTCATCCCCACAGACTTTCTCCGCACATTCCATTGGATGTGTTTGAAAGAAACTGTGCCATTCCAGCTGAGCACTGCTGTGATGTAATCCAGTATATCTGTGGTTTTCTTTCTTGCATTTTTCCATGGTCTGTGATTAACTTGATAAATTCTGTAGCTGTTTTCTTCTTAGATAATTTGACTTCATCTAGATGGTTTTATCTCCTATAGCTTGTTTACCTTGCACCAATTACTAACCCAAGCAGCTATTCAGTACAAGAAATAGAGATTTAATTATTCATGAATAATAAGCTTCTGTGCTGTGGTGGTGAAGCTGGCATTGGTGGCACCTTGTAAGAGCAATTAGTCACTCTTTATTTGTCCTGTTGAAAATTACTTGGACATTTAAATCAGTCTTCAAAACAGCTAGGATTTTAATTTCAGCTGTATTCACTGAAGAAAGGTAGGTGACCAGAACTTACTAACAAGTAAGTGTCTCTGGGTGGAAAGTGAACTGTGGAAATAACCATTGGTTTTTTATTTTTTGTTTTTAATTTAGGTTTTTACTTATGGCAGCATCTTAATGTAGCAGTAAAAGGCATTATGAATGCTTAACTCTAATCAACAGAAAAATGATGTCTGCAGTGAAGTACCACTTTATTATACTTTAAATGTTTGAGGTCTATTTTATAACATTAATACAAATTAAATGTATTTTATGGGCCATATGGTACTCTTTCTCGGATTTGTAATATGAGCCAATAACGTGATGCTGAAAAACAAAATGAACTCCAGAGAAATAAAATTACCCAATTACAATTAGCATACACATCCTTGCACTGACATGTACCACTCGATGCTTACTCTCTAACCACATGGCTTTCTTTCCTTCCAGCATAAAGGGAGGGCTGACCGACACAGTAGAGACAAGCCTGAGAAACTGTGTGATCTGAATAGTGCAGTTGTGCATGTTTTACTGTAAAACTGCATAAAGTATTCTAGTTTGTCTGCTCTGCAAAGGGGAGGGAGTTGTTACAGAGCATGTTGCTGATTGTTTATTCTAGATGTATTTTTAAAATAGTCCCACTACTTATGACTCCCATCCCATTTCCCCTCATTCCCATGGCTCCCATCATCCTTCTGCACACTAAGAGTATCTCATTTTTGCATCTTATTCCACTAAATGATTCCTTAATATCTTTTCTTATGCTGAATTATTAATGAATAATAAGAAAGGGAGAAGTGGAAGCAATTACTTGCGTTGCTGATTCTTTCAGTGTCTTAATACACTTCATGTTATTGTGATCTTCTAGCTTCCATGATCCATTCCTTTTGTTCAGCTCCTTTTTTTTTTTTTTTTGGCCTTTTCACTTCATCTAATGAGGAATGCTCAGTCTTCCCCATCCCCAGAAAACCAAAGTCCTTCAAATGTCAATTCTTGTGTACTTTGATTTATTATTGTATGTAGAATATATGGCATACTGTGTGATAAGCTGTTGTTCTTGCATCAACTCAGTTAGTACTTTGCCCCTATTTTCCCCAACTTTAACATTTCACTGATGGATTTTTTTTTTATTAATTGTATGATGTTATTATTCGTTATCTTCAAATTCATTATATTGGGAAATGTTGTATTTGCTTGATGAATGCAAAACATTCTGAACTCCACAACTGAAAAAAGAATGCAGCCATTAAAGATCTCTGGGCATGCTTTCAAAAGATGTCTCTAATTTCCTGCCCTATTTGGAAAATTTCACATGCCTACTGAAAGATTCTTCTTCCTCTCCCACCATTTCAGTTAGATGTGACTTTCACTGTCCTTTGAAAGTCTCAGGCATCCTGTAGTTTACTCTTTATTCCCTGTTCTAAACAGTGCATCATGTCATCAGTAGATGATGAGAGATTTGTAGACACACTACCAGGTAAGGTTGGAAAAGACCACAAGGATCACCTTGCCCAAAGTATGAATCAGCTAATACCTGTCTGCCCTGTTGTAAGTTCCAGCCTGTTTTTGACATGCTTTGAGCAAAATAGTGTGTAAATGGTATGCTGATATGAATTGTTAGGTGTCTGGTTGAAAATAAATAGGTGGAGCTTTGATTTGTGTTTGTTTTTCAGAGTCAGAGCATCAACTGTGTGGAAAAGATGAAATGTCCAGCATCTAATGTGAGTTCTGTGCAGACACAGGGAGATTCCGATTACTTCATCAACCATCTTGGAGTACCTGCAATGCAGTTTTCTTATGAGGATATCAACACATCAGAGGTAGTTACAAGTTTTCTCAGTTGTATCCTCACATGCCCGATGTGTTCCTGAAAGTTATAATGGTACAGGTTTTTTGATCTGCAACAGATCACCACAGAACTTCAAAGCTTCTGGTTTTATAGGACTACAACATTCAAACAACCAGAGAAGTGTTTAGAACAAAGAAAAAGCAGGAAAAAAAAAAATTGCAGGACAGTGTGTTAACAACCTTAATATTACTCATGGTATTATAGGTTGTTTATGATCTAACCCAACATGGAGGAATTAAGTTCTGATGTGTATTTCTATTTCTGCAAAGTAGGGTGAGACAGCCTTCAAAGTTATTTTTATATGCATCTTCATTCTGTGGGCCAAATATGCCTCTCTAGTGTATGTATTGGTTCTAAAGATCTTGATTGCACTTGATTGGAGTCTTCATGTTCTTTTATTTGCAGACCAGCTTGGAATTAAACAAGCATAATCTGCTTGGGAGCTTTGTCCTTCCTTAGGCATCACTTCAGTAGGTTATATTTGCTCCTGGACAACTCAAACTTACCCCGACCTGGTCAATTGGCATTAGTTGTTTTGAAAAACTGTAGTTGTGAAAAAGGGTGTGTGCTTTATTGTAGAAGTAGAATGTACAGACTTTGTATTCCTCTCTTTTTTGTTCTTACACTGTACATATCTGTGTATGTGCACATGTTCCAAAATTCACAAACAAAACTGGGAGTCAGTAGAACTGCAGCACTTCCTGACACTATATGCTAATATGCTTCTATTTCACAAATGCAAAACAAAGCAGAAATATGCCAAGTGTTGAAGCATTATCATGAAGATATGTAAATTAAAGTAGATGAAGTCAAGAATTGATATAAATAAACAGTGTTTTTTGTTTCTGAACACCACTGCACCTATTAAGCAAAAAGTATTCCATTTCAGGTTAAACACAATGCAAAGTCTTTAAGGTAAACGTGAAGGCAGAAGCTCTATGAGTGCAATGTTTGTGACAGGCTTGTCATCTGCAGCACATTTCTGTTGTCACTTAGCAGCTGTTCCACATAGTTTTCATTCCAGATCTGCTCATACAGGATCTATAGAGCATGAGAAAGAATTTGCAGACATGTGTATATCAAAATAATGATTCTTTCCCAGCAACATTTCCAACACGATTGCTGAAGGTTCCTTTGGCTAAAAGGAAAAAGTAGTTTTTCACATTCAGTTAACTTTGCAGCTGTCTATTTTTTCTCTGAAAATGATTCAGCAATACAATTAAACTTGTAAAAAAAAAAATAAAAAAAAAAGGTTTTGATATTTGTTTAGACAAACAGAATTTGATTCTCTTTCAACATGCAGCTTTTGTCCTCTTTGCAAATTCATTTGCTAGAATTAAACCAGTTGTACATTACTTCAGTTTTGAAGTTTATGTACTTCTCAGACCACAGGATGTACTGACATCATGAAATCTATTTTATGTGAGAAGTAAATCTGCTTAGCGACAGTTGAAACTTTCTGCTGGCAAAAGGATGGATTTTTTTCAGAAAAGTGAAGTTTAAATTTGGATTCCTTGCTTTTTATTTGTTATTCATTGTACTGATTATTACCAGTGCATAAAAACATGGGCTCAGTGCCTCATGTGGTTTGTTATGTTCTACCAGACATGGCATTTGGGGATAAGCTGAGGATTCTGTTTCTTGTATCAAGAGGGGATGCTACTTTTGTAAGGCAGAGAGAAACTATGCTGGGTTTACAGCTGAATTAATAAAGTTAATTAAAACTAAATTAATGAAGTTCTCTTGTGCAGGTAAAATGGTCTGTTGAGGTATGGGGAGTGATTTTTAATGATTTTTAATTGTTGACTTCCAAGCCATTCCACTTTCTAAGCAGTGCCTCAGGTTTGTATGCTTTATTGCAAAGATTTGTGCTCAGGAAGAAAGATTTCAGAAAGTGAATGATTTTATGTGTTTTTCTAGACTAGGTTGCTTTTTTCTACTGTCCCTCTCACTGCTGTGACCTACTCAGGAAGCTCTTTTATTTTGGAATATAAGGTAGTTGTTTACTTTACCCACCTGTCAGATAGCATGCAGTGTCACTTAGAAAAGACACTGTTTGTATAAGCACTATTCTATGTGTAGAAAAAAACTCTGGTTTAAAGAAAAGTGGTTTGAGATCTGTGCTTGGTAGTCTGTCTACAAAGCAGTCAGTAGTTATAGGTCAGCGTTTGCAAGGCAGTTCTTACACAGCAAGTGTAATGCCGGTCCTTGGAGGGGAGGTTGTAAAAGCTTTTCATTGGTAGGAACCTGAGGTGTAAATAAGGGGAAATAAAAGCTGCAAGAGGAAATGTTCAGACCAGAAGAGTAAGTAAAAAACTTGCTTGAAATTACCTAAGAAGTTGAAGTAGAGCCTCAGGGAGATTAAATCTGCATGGCAAATGCCTATGGTCAGATCTGTAGGCTAGTAAAGTACATTTTAAGTACACTCATATAGAAAATGCACCAAGTGAAATTGAATTCACTTATTTATTAGTAGAAAATACACAACATTTTGATCTGCCAGTAAGAGGTAAGCTTGGAAGAATTTCTCAGATGGAAGAAGATATAACACCCTTTCCAGAAATTGTCTTTGATTGCTGAAGAAAGCCGTCCTCTCCTAAACTCAGACACACATGGGTTTTACCTCTGTGCAAGGGCCATGTTCTGGGTTCCAGAGGAGGAATGCTGGTCACCTTTTTCTGATCCTCTTACTCTGGAGAGTCATGCTTTTCAGACTAATGATTAATTTCCATCTAAGTGATCATATAGAATATTACTTCTCTCTCTGGAGTCACATTTCATCCACGTGGATTCCACCAAACTTCTGCACTTCCACTTGGAAAGTTAAACTTTTTTTTCTAGTTTAGCTTTTTCCTTACCTTCCTATTTTTCAAGTTTGCATAACAGAATTCATTTTTATTATGTCTTTCTTAGCAGTTTATATCGTTCTTGCTCAAGTACAAGAACGTATGTAAATCACAGAGACTGAGTACTGTGGCTGCCTAACGTTTGGGTACAAGAGAAATATAATCTGGATTTGCTGTGGTTTCAGTTAGAGATTTGATTGTTTCCTGAGCATTGGAAATGAAGCACCAGACTGCTCAGCATTTTGAAACCCTTCTGGTCGTTTGCAAATATAAGCTGACACTGGAGCTTTTCTTCTGTTTTGATGGAGCTATTTTGAGCTCTTTTTCATGATGTAAACTGACTGTTTCTGTCCCATTTCTGTGGCATTGTAGACTACAGTTTCATGAGGCATCCAATTTTTTTAATTAGAGCTAGATGGTTTTCTGTGTTATCTGCATAGTATTCATCTTTCTCAGTACATTCCATTTCATAATGATTTCTGTTTGATAACAAAGAATCTTAAATCCCTTCTGCAATAATGTGGCAGATTGCATGAATGTTAGCATTAGCATTTTGTTTTGAGAAAACACGTTAGTGCACAAAGGAAAACTGAAAAACCCCAAACCTAAAACAACAACAAAAAACATATTTAAAATCCCCTACCTTCTGTTTTGTGGGTTTGGAATTTTTTTTTGCTATTTACTGATGGACACATATTTAGCATGAAATATTTTATGATAGCTGTCCAAGTTTGGATTTGCAGGGCTTACAGAACATTTACTTTTACACCTACACCATAAAAGTTGTTTTCCGTATCTTCAGTCAAACTTAAGTACAGGCATGAACTATAAAAATTACCTGTCACATTATTCGCAGACTAGACCAAGATAGTGCAATACCATGGACCACTAAGCTAATTTAGAAGAAAAATGAAAAGAGGTTTCTCTATAGAAGGCATTTGTATGTAATATATGTAGAAGAGTTTAGAATTTTGACAGTTTTAGATTGTATTCCCTTTAGAGAGAATGCATAATGATTTTTATTTCTGTTGAAATATGTATAACTTTTTGAAGGTAACTTTCAGCTTTCATTAGAGACTTTAAAAGTGATTTTTGCCCACACTGGTGTAAAACAAAGGCCACTAAATCTTAACTCTTCAATGAATATGGCTTCTTGATTGCGCTTTTACCATCAATTTCCACTTCCTCCTGCTGCCCCCACTGCTGCCCTCTTTTCTCTTTATCACTCTTCGGCGTAACTTCCTGCAGTTTCTTCATTTCAGTATTTACGTGCTCAGGCTGATATATCACGCACTCATTTCAAAACAAATCAAAAGCTCTGCAAGATTTCTTTGTTATCACAAAAGAAACAGAGGAGTTGTCCTTGATGGAGAGAACTTATGGTCTAGTTTACTGAGGAATAACTCCCATGTTTCATGCTGCTTTTATCTCTTTCATGTGTTCGTGTTAGCGTACAGGGAGGGCTGAAGCAGGATGGCGTGCTCAACTGTGGTGTGTGTTCTAAAAGAATGAGCTGGAAACTGGTTTTTACACCTGTCTGTTGTGCATGGGAGCAATACTGAACGTCCGTAAAGTGGGGGGTTTTGGTGCCAGTAATTAGGAGCTCTATTTAATATGTGCTGTGTTGTCCTTTAGTGTTTTCATTTCTTGTGTGTGTGTGTGTCAAATGAAGTTTTGAACTGAGCATACAAATTAACAGAATTCAGGTGGCACAGAGTGGTGGCAGTCTGTAAAGGTTCAGGACTTTCTCCAGTCATCTGGATAGGCAAGAATGGCAGCATACCACAAATACCACCTGGTAACTAGGTTGTTCTGTTCGTTGTCATTATTGAATCACTAATCTTCTGAATCAATTACAGTTATGACCTTGACACTATACTTACAATAATTAATTTAGCTCAAAGTGCTTAAAATTGGCCTCAGTAAGTTCAGTTTAATGTGAATAAAATTTGTAGGAAGCATTCAGAATTATTTATACTTTAAAATTTGCAACTGCATTATCTATCATTCCGTCATAGTTAATTGGAAAGAGTAGTTGATGGCCACTGACTATTTCCAGGTGAATACCTACATCCATTACCATTATAACCTGTAGCACTTTATTTCTTCAGTTTCACACAACAGT